AATAAATATATATAGAGATACATATATAAGTAGTTCCTTCTCCATCCTGATTGACTAAGGAACCTCCAAAACCCAAGGCCAAAGCTAAGGGCAAGGCGGTTCCACCTCCTGCAATTCCAGAGACAGCTGAGCAGAACGGGGCATCGTGAGGGAACAGGCTGTGTGTGACAAGCTAGGGAAACCCTTATCTTGTCAGATCTTGTCAGTCAGGCCAAACCCTTTAGGTCCAGATTTCTAGACTGGTTGCTCTTTGCTACCAAAAACGGTTCATGTTGACTAGTGTTGTATGTATTGGTGTAGGCCTTCTTCAGGTCTGGATGGGGTTTGACAGCTGCCTGAGTAGTTTTGGACACTGGCTGGGGCAAGCCAAAGATGAGATGATTGTGTTTCCGGCGTGGTGAGAAAGGATCGCCCACTGTCTTCTGATGCTGTGGTTAAAACACGGGTCCAGAACTGATGCATGGCAGGTTTAGCTTTCTGTTTTTTTGGGACTTGCAGTTGCAATATAATTATAAGCTGTGCCAACCCACGCAGGTGCTGACTTGGCTAATGCCAAATCTTCGCCTCTGTACGCATACCTCTTGAAAGAGGCAGGACTTGGAGAAACTTGGCATGAAAGGAAATGGATGGGACACAGTTGACCAATATACTCCAAAGGCAAAAAATAACTATGTTTGCCTTATATGCATCTTGGGTACTGTGTGACCAGCAGAGTGTCTAGTGAGTTTGCGGAGCTTCCTAACCCTCTAAGGCCCTCTAACTAGTGCTGTGAAGCCCTTCCTTTTGAGGCTAGCTCTTTTGCAAAGACGCAGAAGGTCCTAAGCTATGTTGGAAAGGAGTGCTGGTGGGACAGGGGGGCCAAGTATTCCAAGTTAGTTGGAACTTGGAAAGGATTCAAGGGGCCCACACTGCAGACTCATGCAAAAACATTGCTCCCCGAGAATTGGCCTGGAGGAGTTTCGCATGCACGGAGTGACATGGCAGGGTCCGTGCCAATCCTTGGAGCAAGCTGGATGCAAGGGCAAGTACGCGTCGAATATTCAAAGGGACATCCTTCGGAAAGTGTTCAAAAAAGACCCCAATCAGGTCAGCCAAGGAACAAACAGTTTGTATGTCTTGGGTACTTTGGATGTGTTTCAGGTGTGGGGTTGGGTTCCTGGGCCCTGGAGGTAGAGATTGATTGGATCGACGTGCCCCTACAAACAACTCGCGGGATCAACGGTGTGGAAATCAGGACGGCTAGGGAACCCACAAAGTTTTCACTAGCAATGGTTTTTGAATTTAGGCATTTGCCTCCCCTGGAAGGAAGCATCCACTGGTATTGCCTCATAATGTGGTCTCAGATTGGCCCAAAGTTGATGAGAGGGAGGTCAAAGAGTACTGGCAGCATCTTGCCAGTCGAGGATCACCTTTAGCACAAATCAGCCCGGAGCAACAACACGTACCAATATGGCTGTGGGGTGATGAAGCTGAATTCCGGGAAAATGGGGAAGAGATCTTGCTGATAGCTTGCGGCTGTGTGGTTGACCCGAGAAAGAACAGTATTGAGTGCTGCTATCCTCTATGTCTTTGTCGGACTGATTCTTGACCAAAAGGTGTTTAACTTTTTGTTTAAACCCCAGTTGAAGATTGTGTATTCCTACATGTTGGTTCAGGGGTCCCTCACTTCCAGCTAGGAAATCAATGCTGGCTGGCAAACAGTCCACGCACTCCTGGATGCAGTGGCCTAGTCACATTTTATATAAAATGTGAGTTTGGTTCCTGATTTCCCCCAACCACTTCTCACGGCCAAAAAAGGCCAAGGAGCAGGAACACGTTGCCAAAATCAACACTTCCCATCCATGGCTGTGGCTCAGGTTGTGCAGTCGCTTCATGGTTTGTACTATGATGGGGTGACCATAGAAGCTGGCAAACCTGCAGTTCGATATGCAGTTACTGAAATCCGCGGAGATTGGAAATGGCAAAAAGATTCCTCTGCTTGATTTCAATCGTTTTCCCACAAAGAATCTTTACTTTCATTGTTTAGACCACCCTAGGGATCCAAGTACCTTCTCAGAAGCTAGGGATCCAAGTACCTTCTCAGAAGGTGATTGGAGGCACTGTTATGGGTTTGGAGGGTCCAAGCACCTGAGAAGGTACTTGGATCCCTAGGGATAAGGTACTTGGACCCTCCAAATCTACATAACAGTGCCTCCAATCACCTTCTGAGAAGGTACTTGGATCCCTAGGGTGGTCTAAGAGATAATACTTTCCAAAGCAGAGTTTTCATGTGCAAGGAGTGGCTACAGCTCCAGAAGTATTACCTTTGCAATGAGATATGCCACTGTTGCAGGGCCACTGCGCCCAAATACTTTGAGGCCCCAGGATTGCTACACAGCAAGTTCCGCCACAGCACGGAGAGCTTTCTGCAGGAATGTGTCAAGAGAGGTGTGCAAAGACACTTGGTTCATTGAACAGAATAGGTTGTATTAGTTTCTTTTGTTGTTTACCTGCATTTTCTGCATGGTGCAAACAGGCCTTGTGGATTTGCTGACATTGCCAGCCAAGGCCCACTACTCCGCTTACCATCTTTCAAGATGGAGATGGTGAAATGGGATGGCATGCATACGATCAACTTGGGCGCTGACTTATGGATATGTGGGTCTATCCTGAAAAAACTCTTGGAGTACAATGTGTTTGGTGGATTTGGCCTTAGTGAATCGGACAGGCTTCTCATATGCTATGACTCCTTCCGGTCATGGGCTCGCACACACAAAGTTCAGCACTTCACCTGATTTGATTTAACAAATTTAACAAGTGGTTTGTGTTCAGGGGGTGCATGTCTTCTGACAAACTGCCTTCTACAAGCTCACACTGCTTACCGAAAAGCCCAACACATGTTACATGAAACATTGATGTGATGTACTACTTCATCTGTGAAGTCTGAGGCATTCCATGCCGAAGCTGAAGCCGTGGCGACTTAAGTCCAAGCAGCATCCCTGGCCTGAACTCCAGGCCAAGGCCTGGAACGCATCTAGGCCCTATTCATAGTTGAGTTTTTTTGTTTGACAACCCTTGGCATTAATATGCAACAATCCAGATGTGCACAAAGACCTGGGAAAACTAGGTGATAAGGCCTCCTAGCCTAAGGTTGTTAATTGTGGTGTTTGACCTCATGGGAAGAGGTGTGGGGATCCCTAGAGGGTGTCCTCCAGCCAAAGTGTTGGATGGTATATATGATATGCTATGTAGGCTCCTTTTGACTACGGGTGGCCAATATCCACAAACACATTCTGAGAAAGTTTGTGGATGCCTAAAAGGGTGTGTGGTTTTTCTAATTTGTTTACATGTCGGGCCTCACGCTGAGGCGAGATGTGTGGTGGCCTGGCTATGCGAGGAAACGATTGAGTTTGCAAAGGCTGACCCCCACGACAAATGGTTGCCTCTCTTGGCGTCGGTTGCGCTGCTTTGATTGAACTAGCACAGATACGTGTGACTTATGGGTCATTAGAACATGTTTAATACCCAGCATTGTTTTTATTTCTGAGCAGTGCTTCGGGGGCTGAAGAGTGGTGTCTTGACTTGGGATTAAGGTTCTATGCAGCTGAATGGCACCGCAAGGCAGAGCTTCTCCCGAGGTATTTGACAGAAGAGGAGGCCCAAGATTTATTGGATACCTCGGAAAAGTGCCTTGTTAGCTATGCAATCTTGTCCAACATGGCGGTGCAAGCTGGTGAGCTGCTTTTCCCGAGCAGACCCAAATTGCATGTTCCTTGTTTAAAGATAACTGTTTTGGGTCTGTTGGGAAAGAACATGTTATCTCTTTCTGTTTTGCCATCCAGCTAGTAGCAAGGCTTGGCAGGAGCTAGCTTTCCAACAATACTTGGAGTGCTGCGTGGCCCAATTTGGAATGACTTGGTGCTTTCTTCGTTTAATGTGAACCCATTCTTGGGGTGCCACTTTTTGCGGTGTCCTCTACAAAAACTATAGCTCCCTGTGGATCCACATAAACCTTCAGAAGAATTTTTAAAACCATTTTGAAGACCCCTAAGTGGTTCCTAGATCGCAGGGGCCAAGACTTCCACCACCAGCTCAGGTTACAACGCCGGGTTCTTCAGTGGTTACAAACCGGAGGACTTCATAGGACGCATGTCCATTGTTTGCAGATCCGCCAACAACTCCAAAGTGGAACATATCGCTTTGAAGCGGTTTTACATGGGGTCATTTGGTGGACCTGGCAAGCCTGTATGTGCTCTTTATGTGTTCTTTATGTTTTGATATCCACCATGTGTTCTTTATGTGCTTTAGATTATATTTGTCGACCCTGCTCAGGCAAAAGAATCACCAGAACCTTGCTCATTGGGATGCCTTCTGCAGTGACGATGACTAATTCATGCCATGTTTCACTTGGGGAGCCATCAGGGGTGCTAGTACCAAAACTTTCACTTAAATTCTACCAATAAACTATTTGGATACCCAAGGATGGCCAAATATTCTTGCTTCAGTGAATGCGTAGCTATGGCATCGCAAAGGAAAACAACCATGCACTACGAGTGAGGCCTGTGCTTGGGCTGGTGGAAGGGAGTTTCTGGAATGTGGTTTTCCCGTTTCTTGTGAGCACTGTCTCGGTGCAAAACCATCCCTGAAACCTGATCACAAAGGAATACATTGTGAATCATCGCCTGAGCGTGTGTTTGGGATCCCTAGGGATAAAGTGGCACTAGTGTCCTGTGACTATGTTGAGCAAACCTCCGATGACCAGTTTAGTAGGGTTTAACTGTTTAACGGTTTTGCGGATTTGGAATTTGCTTTTCTTCCTCTATCAACGATCTCATATTCCGCAAATAGGTGACAGATACCCTAGACCCCTTCCAGGTACTGTAGAAAGTTTGATTATGGCATCTAGAGGTCATGTTCAACGGCTTGCCCAATGTCACTTCATCCGACAGAAGGAACTCGTCCGGTTTTCCGCTTCTTGACCTGTTTCAATTGTGCCGGACTGGGCTAACTCGTGGGCTCAGGATTGCCCGTGGAGTGGTACCTAACGAAGTGAGCTTCAGTGCAGCAATCAGTGCATGCGAGAAAGGGAATCAATGGCATCTTGCCGGTGGAAGTTTTGCCTTTGGCTCCAGCTGCTGTTGCTGGGGGCGTCGCCCTGGCGTCGCCCGCTTCGTCTGATGCGAGGGCGTTCAGAACGGATGCCACTGGAGATGTCCCAGGGGTGTTTTCCTCCCCACGAACTTTCCGGGACCATGGCTTCGACAGTGGACTTAGCTAAGCCACCAAGGCCTTTCATCCCCTGCAGGCTGGCACCGAGCATGTCGGACTGTTCCCCTGAAAAATTGGTGCCCAGTTGGCCCACAAGTCAATTGCCTGCCACTTGGCGGTCCCTGTAAGAGCTGTTCGTACCTCCGAAAATGGGCCCCCATTCCTGTTTGTTGTTTGGGGCCATGATGCGTCATGTGCCATTTTTCTAGGTGGCAACTGAAGGGTAACATTTCTTATGGATCCACTGCCACCCTCCCTTTCGCGGGTGATGTGCTGGACGTGGATCTCGAGAACTTCCGTCCAATGTCTTCGACCATCGGTGCAACTTCGATGCTGTTGTTTTCTCCATGCATGTGTGTTCTTTTTTGTCCTGACCCAAGCACTCCATGTATGGAATATATGCCTATATTGACCCCCTCAAACCACCTCAATGTATAGGTATAGGCCAGTCCCATGTAAGGTTTGGGTTGGCAAGTCATCATACCCCCCCACGAACCTTGGGCAGTCCCATGTCAGTTCTCTTCGGGACCTCCACCCCAAAAGCCTCCTGCGCTGGTCTGGAACGGTCTGGAACGGTCTGGAACGGTCTTCGAGTCGCCCAGGCGAGGAGCCTTGCAGTTGCTGGAACTCATGCGTGAGTTCAAAACATGCGACGGGCGCGAGCTTTTCGGCCGAGGGGGCGAGAGCTGACCTGGTGTGGTTCGAACGATGGCTCTTGACCTCCTCCCACTGCCGAGAGAACCATTTGGTGTTCAGCTTCCCTTGTTTATTTGTTTCCACCGAAGAGTTGTTGCACTGGGAGAGAGAGTGCCAGCTTCCGTTGTTGGCAGTGTTTTGGATTCATAGCACCGAAGGATCTAGCCCCACTGATATTCCAACAAGCATGACTGACATGTGTTTTACCAAACAACCATGCTTTTACTGAGGATTTGAGACAAAACCAGCTCAACCATACAAAAGCAACACAAAGTACTTCAATTCTGAAGTGGTACCCTGGTTAGTGCCAAATCCGAGCAAAAGCCGCTCGGTGCGAACCGGGCTGACCCTGACTCGACCTGTTCGACCGGACCTCTCCGAAAACGTGTGCACGCGTCGAAAACGACGTGGTTTTGGTAGAGAAACATCGGACTGGTTTGGGAGTCCGATGTCAATGGACTCGATATTTGGAGTCCGGGTACGTGTGATAGGTTGGTGATCGCAGCCAAGCTGTTTTGCACAAGCACCTGGTTTCATCCTCCATGGATTCCCCATGCTACGGCCACGGGAATTGGTCCGGGCTGCTTCTCGGCAGCACGGTCGGATCGATAATTGTCCTGAAGGCTCACTCAACTCCGAGTGAGTCTTGAAGTTTGTTTTTGTTGTATCCCTCATTAACTATATAGCCCGCACTGACTGAAAGTCCATGTTCCTCCCGATTCTAGGAAGAATCCAGTTGTTCATGAATCAATTTGGAGTTTCTGTGATAGCCTCGTTGTGAAGACGTTTGCAAGACTTCTGAAAAGTAATTGATTAACACATATCAACACCTATTTGTGTATGTCATGTTCTCATTTTTTGCCAGCAACATTGCCACTCCTCCCCATCTAGGGGAGATGGCCGTGAATTGACGTCACATGCATGTATTGATGTGTCACTCACATTCATGATAAATAATGCAAAACACAAGAAAAGCATCAGGAGAGCATCTTAGCCTGGAGCTTCCCCAGTGAAATGAAGTTTGTTTGCAACTTTCATGCACGGTGGGGTTTGAATTCTATCTAAATATGTATATATCTATATATATATATGTATACATCGGATGTGCTGTGACAAAGCGTATTTCACTGATTAGATAAAGACAAATGACATCTCTTTGGCGGCAGCTCTTACCCGATGGGCATGTCAACCATGTGCAACCCGTGAGCCTGTTAAGATTTTAACTAGCTCATGCTACGTACACGGAGTGTTTGGAAGAAAACAGATCTAACGTTTTATCATGGTTTTCATCATTGCTCTCGGGTGTTGAAGGTCATGAAAGCACTTGTGGACAGGTCTGGACGGGTCTCCAGTCGACCTGCAACCCCTTCAACATCTGTGAAGGTGAACGTGGGTCTTTTTCCCATGGTGCAGATATGCAGATGGTATTCGTCCAAATCTACCACGGATGACGTTGATTCGGAGTTCGCGTCTTTCACTGTCGGCGGTATTCCATTTCAACAGATGCCTTTGTGGTATGATGCACAGCGACGCATTTACAAACACTTCTTCGTCATGAGGTCATCTCATGCCTGAGTGCGCCGTCCGAGCTTACCCGGGAGCGATTGCGTGCCCTGGCCAGTTTATTCTGGATGGTAAGGATCATTGATCTGCAAAGCAAATCATTTTTGGTTGTGTTTGATTGCCAAGCCTTCTTTGATTGACTCGAGGGAAAGATCTACGACTGCAGATTGTATTTGCGATCTCCTAGACAAGCCCTGAATTGAGGAACACAAGAAGGATTCTTATAATACAAGTGTTTCACATTGGTTCATAGATATTCAGAACCAAACACGGCACCAAAAGACTAAACCACGCAATAAATTAGTATGTCAAAAGAACATGGAGCCATGCAGTGATTGGTCTTGCAGGCCCCTGTTGATTCAGTTTTGAATGTTTTAAGAAAACAAATATGATCTTTTCTCCAGGTTTGTTGGCATGTTTGTTCTCGCTTGGAGCTCATCCGAACAAGGGACCCCTAGCAACAGAAAATTCACATCTACCTAGTAGACCCTGCATTTCTTAACCTGGAAAATGGTAAATGACCCTCTAAAACAGACACTTGTACCCAGTTTCCGGGGTACGAACTGTCACTTTATGCACCCTGTCACGTGATTGAACAGAATGTGATTGGTGTTGGGCCAAAAATTAGTCTCTTCTATAGGAGTGCTTCAACATGAAAGAGATTTCTCAAGAGGTATGTGAGCACTTTGGAAAGTCTCTTATAGGTGTACCCTCCCTCCAGCACATATGGAAGCTGACCAGGACTCCCTTATCCTAGAGAAACATGGAAGACCCCAGTGCCTTTCATCTCCGTCCATGATGGTTTGGAGTGTAACTCCACCGGACAAAGGCTCCATTGTGCCTGGCCTGCCCATGTCTCATAGAAGTGAGCTACTGCATGCCCTCGTGAAGAAGAAGCCCGAGTTGGTCCCACGCCTTCTGGAGATTTGTCACTTGGCATTCCGAGCACTTGGAGCAAAGCACATGAAAACACTGGAAGCACTTGGTTGCTTCATGGCCAAACTTCTGTTACGTGATTTGAAGGGATCAAGTCCCTATACTATTGATTGCCTTGGCTTGCCCAAGCTCCGATCTTCACCGGCTCCGATCGGCCCCGATCGCCGCCGCGGCTTCGGTTCGCAGGTGACGCAGAGACGGTCGAGACGGGGTCGCCTCAACTTCTGACCATCCCTGGGCGAGGACGGACGGAGGCACCGGAAGTTCGGACGGACGGACGGGAGGACGGTCGCACCCAACAAGAGTAACACAGACGTGACACCGGACTGCGCAGTCAAGAGTTGAAAAGCAAATGCATCAGCGGACTGGTTGAGACAGGACCCACGGAGGGTTGTTTGGCACTTAGCCTCCAAGGGAGAGGTGAATTAATGACATCCCTTCATCAAGGGCTTTGTGGCTACAAGTGATTCACCAATTCTTTAAATTGTATTTGATTGTTTTCGAGGTGTCGATCTCAAAATCATGACAATATATTCTGACCTTATTCCTGATTTCCCTCCAACAAACATGCAACTGAACATGGCCCCATCAAAAAGGAAGGCGTCTTTCCTTTTGCCAACAGCAGGCCGTTTTTCACCTCCATGATTGTTGTTTCAGGGAGGGTCCCCTTCCGACCTGTCCGTCGATAATTACATGTTGTATGTGGAGCCCCTCCATATACAAATTTGTAACTCCCATGTTTTAACTAAGGTGGCTACCTGGAGTCTCAATTCGTGACCTCAGAAAATAGCTACAGGTTGTGCCTTTGCTTATAACTTAATAGGGTCATGTCACAGTCAATGTCCATTTTCCATGGGGGTGTGAACTGGAGGCCAAAGACGTCTTCGGGTCCAAACCACCTCAGGCTGCCATTGCCGCTTGCGGGCGGGTGTCCCAATGGCAAGTGGCTGCCGAGCTGATCGAGATGCCAAGGAGACGGGCGAGATTTCCTTGTCCTGGATGGGCTCAAAGAAAGCACATCCGAAAGAGAAGGTAGGGATAGACCCCCTGGCAAACCACCCACATTTCAGGCAGTGAACCGAAACCGGAAATCCAAAACGGAGCCCTCTTGCACCAACAAGAGAACATGTGGCTCAGTCCACTCGCGACTGCGCAACTCCTTGCGAGGATTCAGCCGAACGTCTTCAGCTGCAGTGCAGCTATCAGTGCCTGTACAAGGGGTACAGGCTGGGAGTATGGAGCCTTTGGTGATCATGAGGGGAAAAGCGGGGGACTTGGGCGAAACGGTTTCCTGATTTCTGGACGAGCGACTGCGCGTATCTTGAGAATCTTGAGAGCACCAGGATGCATTGAATCACTGCCCCCCGGCAGGCCCTGGTCCTTGAAAGTGGTGTCCAATGGAGATCCACAAGTGCCCTATACCATCCAGTCGAGGTGTTTCCTGGTGCCCAGGTTCACCACCTGTTAGGCCAGGATGGCCCCCAGAACTGGGACTGATCGGTGGCGGAGAAAGGTTTGGGTGTGCGAAACACATGATGTGAAAGGTGACTGGTGGATTTCTGATGTTGGGTTTAGACCCTCCAGGATGAAGCAGGGAAACGGTTCAAACAGAAGAAACAGAAGAAACAGGAAGAAAGAACTGCCAGGAGTCACAAAGGGGTGGTTGTTAGATGTTTTTAATTGTTTTTAGTCCCTAAGTGAGTGGATAATGAAGCATGTGCACCCAGTTGGGCACCCGACATTGCACCAAGTTCGGCACCCCGACATTGCACCTGCTGGTGGAGAGGTTAACATGTTTCCTGGATATTCAGCATCCAAATTGTTTCTTTTTTCCTCCATGGATTTGGGGCACATGTTTGCAACCCCTGAAACGGCATCTTTGAGCCCTGTTTCACAATGCATCGGACCAACAAATTAGGCCCTTTCAAGATCCAGGTCGAGGTATATATGTGTTTCGTGAAGGGATTGTGCCTGTGTCCTCCCTGGTCTACCCTCCCATGCGGAATGGCCTTGGATTCCGACCTGCCAAGAGAGAAATCTGATGACCTTCCCAGGGCCCCATCTGTTCCGTAGGGATCATGGCATTTGTTCATTTTCACGGGTCAACCAGGAGCCTCCCTGTTTTTGCCCCACTGCCCTATCGGCAACTCAACTGTTGGTCAGACTGTTGCGCCCCGGAGCTGAGCCGGGGAATAGCCCTGCGAAAGGATTTGACCTGAGCCCATATTTTGACACAGTTGGTGCCTGGATCTTGTAGAAACTGGTCAAATGATGAGGTGCGTGAGAGGATATGAGCCTGGCCAAGCTTGGGATGTGTTTGTGAAAATCCATCCTTGAATTCGCTCGCTCAACATTCCATCGATACCAGGTTGTCCATTGCTGACCCCTTGGAAGCAGCTGGTATAAATGAGATCTTAAGTGGCCTGACTGTGGAGGGTAAAACATCCTCTCTTCAAGGAAGGGTTCAAGACTAAGCAAGCCCCTGGAAGGTTCCCGTCATTCCCCCAGATATACACCCTTGATTCAAACATGGGTGGAAGTGGAGGTGGCCCCTTCTTCAGCTTTCATTTGCAAAGGAGACATTATCTAACCAAATAAACAATTGTGCTGGAGGTAGGTATGTAACTTTCCTTCATCATTAATACTTGAAAGAACCATGCAGTTGTTTTGTTCGTTGCAATTGGACTTTCCAGGATTGCACCTCTTCAACGATATGCCCTCCAAGCAAGTTCAACGCAACGAGATCAGCTACAACTCGACCATCAGCTGTTTGGACAAAGGGCAGCAGTGGGAGCATGCTTTGCAAGCCTCCTGCTGCAAGACGTCGGCGAGTGGATATGGGTTGGCACCACCTATCTTGGGAGTATGAAAGCAACATAAATACTGAAATGTTGGATATGGATCTGGTTTTGCCTCGCTGAGAAGATCAGAGGTCGAAAAAGCCGAAGGTGTCAAGCAAAAGCAAAAATGGGTTGTCATCGCGCGAAAGGGTCACTACCTGAACCCGACTTGAATTGAAGTCGCGAATTCGAATATGGGACATCTCATGACAGTCCACCCGGTCTTTTGCCCGCAAAGACCGGTACCTGGAGTCAACCCGTAGCTCGTCGGCTCGGAAAACGGTACAAGTACATGTTACAAGTACCTAATGTTATAAGATCATATGTCTCCTTTTTGAAAGCAAAGGGCATCGCTACTAGCAGCAAGGACGCTACGTTCGGGGCTCCTGGCATCGCTACGAACGGAGCAAGAAGCCACTAGAAACAAGGGCATCGCTACGAACGGAGCAAGGACGCTTGAAGTCAGGTGAGGTACTTCCCGCCCAGACATGCCAGCCTCTCCTTTGTTGGTCATGTGCATTCCGACACGCCATATAGAGCTATGATTCACCCCCAAAAGAACACCCCAATGAAATCAGGTGCCTGGACCTGACTTCAAGTAGCGAAAATGGGACGTCTAACCCTCTAAAGACAGGTAAGTTTGCCAGGTACTTTGTCTACCTGGAGGGTCAAGGTAGATATGCCACCTCCGACTCCCAGAACGTGTCTGGGATTGTTCGGCCCCAAGACGACCGCCCAGATTCTGAAGGTGGGGTGGAACGTGTTCAAGAAAGGTACATGATTTTCCATTTGGTCTTAGTTTCCATTTGGACCCTACGAAGTGGAGTTTCAACGGTGGTGCCATGGGGGTGGGGTCGTTCCGTCGTTCCGTCGTTCGGTCCGACTTTCAAAGTGGGCTTCATCCCTGTCCATCCCTGTCGAATATCCACACCCTACTACTACAGTCAGTTTGACCGTATTTTACTGGAGATGGTCGTAAGGGGGTAAAAGACTAGGTTTTAGTGGGTCAGACTGGACGACTGTAGGGATAGAGGCGGTTCTCAGGCATGGGACACCTTTCCTTTCATCAGGCGGAGGTTGAAGTTTCATTCTCGATCATTATAGGGATATGTTGCCCCGTCCTTCTTTGGAAGTATATATAATATGTTCTATAATTCCTAGCTCATGTTCTTTAAGCCAGGCTTGACCAGTTGACAGCCTTTTCCGGCCCAACATGGATCGATCTATCCTGTCCTGAGGTGTTCAATTCGATGGCAGAAGGCCACATCCAGCCGACCACCAGCAGCTGCAACGCGGCAATGAGCGCGCTGGGCCGCGGGCGCCAGTGGCCCAAGGCATTACAGCTCTTCCACGGCAGCTTAGCAGGCATCGGAACCGAAACAATGGAAGCATCTCCTTTTTTGCGGCACTTTTTTTGTTTAAAGTGTCTTGGCTTTACTGCTTCTATCAAGCTGAAAGAAGCTTTCAACTGGCGGCATTGAGAGTTGTACAACTTGATTTGGTTGCTCCCACTGCTGCACAGTCCAATAAAGGTCAACACTAGTGGTGTGGTGTCACTTAGGAAGTGTTATTCTTTCCGCCTGATCCAAACCTACCTCAACATATGTGCATAAAGCTGCAACAGTAGCTGCAACCTGGTGTTCTACTGAGGTGAACTTGTCACGTCTCACTCTTGGGGTGAAACAAAACATGTTTGGGCCCTTTCCAGGGGCACCCCACATCAGATGTTCTGTCGGACGCTGTGCAACACCAGTTTTGGTCACTGGCAAGACCTGGACCGTATACCTAGAGTCGACCTGTTCGTACCGAAAATGAGTACCAGCACATACTAAGTGCCTGTTTTGGGGGAGATCATGTTCCAGTCGTTTTGGCTACGAACTAGGGTCGCGTCCAGGTGTAGACATGCCCCCAGACTCGGCGGAGGGTCCCCCACATCGTTACCCGCCCCACCACTCGGAACGACCGAGCCGGGAGGTTCTCCAAGCGACCACCGAGGGAGGGTAGTAATGTAGACTCTTGATTCATAAACCGACCCATGTGAATTGGACAATCCTCCTCATATGGGGGGTTTATTTATCAGTCTACATTAGGGAGGTTAGGATCCAACCGATCTGAGGCATGCCAGATCTGGGGATCTTGCCGGATGTGATCAGCTTCAATACCTGCTTCTTGGTAGCAAAACTGGATGAACCAAGGCAAGCCTTTTTGCACCACAAAGCTTTTGGAAGGTTGCAGAGTTCTATTGTGTAAATCTTGAGGAGTCTGACAGTCTGACTGTGAGTGGTTTGATTGCTTTTTTGAGCTTTTGAGGTGCTTTTCTTTGTTGTTCCCATGTCATTGCATTTTGTTTGAATCCCTAAACACAGTTCCTTGATAGGCTAAGGGATTTGATTTGTATGCCCAGATCTCTTTAGGCAATTCCGAGGCATGAATTTATACAAGTTTCTTCCAGCAATGTGGCGAGATGCTTTGAAGTTCTTCAACGCCATGCCACGCGCAACCGTTCTTCCAAATGTTTTTTAGTTGCAAGTCGATGTGTTTGCCAATGTTTTCCATGTTGTTAAGTGGGGGTGTGCATTGGGGTTGATCGTGGTTGATCATGGAGAAGATCTGGAGGTGATGATGAATAGTGACCAACAGGTGTTTTGGGGGATTCGACTGTGTACCCGAATCCAACCAAAGAGTCTTGAGGGTTAGGACCCCGTGCTACTGGGGTCTCCCTTGGATGATGAATGGACGGAACAGCTAAACTAAAGCATGGGCCAACTGGCCTGACATCCCAATTTTGCCTGACTGAATGGACATAGTTTGGATGTTTCCCTGTACCCAGGGCATGTTGTATAGTTCCAATTGCATAAGCACATGCCCGATGGATCTATATACCACCCAAGGTTCCGTGCTGTGTGGAGGGTTACCTCGCCGTAGTAGACGAGTTCGTGAGGGCCGTATGGAATCTTCGAAGAGATATATGCCGAACGACCCGATCTTCAAGAGAATGGGAGATGACCCGAAACCAAACAGCAGCACAGCACTGTTTTTGTTTTGTTCTGTATATCCTCTTTGACCGAGGTGCGCAGTTTGTGACACCAGGTAATAGACCAAGTAGATCCCTAATGAGGCCTTAATGATCCCTAGGAATAGACCAAGAAACGTATATAATATCATTAAATATCAGCAGTATCATATAGGTTCGTTGTTCCTCGTGGGACTTGGTTTCGTTTCTGCGAGCAAGCGACTAGGTGTTCTTTTGGGCACCTAGAAACATGCTCTTTGTATCCTACAATACGTGATCCTGGACTAGGTCAAAGATAGGAGCTCCAAGACTATGAACATGTTGGACATCAGGTCCAACCTGTCAGGATTTAGACTCCGGACTCCGCGGCGGATGGAGGGGAACCTGCGACCTGGTGGGTTTGGTCGAACAGGGACGGCCCTGGTTGATTTGAACATATTTGAACACCACTTTCAGCTTGGCAGTTTTTGTTTTTTTTAATTGCGGGGGTTCACCACCCAGACTCCTGTCGTTTCGGTGAGCCGTTTTGTTCTTTCGAACCGGAGTCTGTTTGCGGAGTGAATGCACGTCAGGTGGTCACTTTCAGCACGCTGATGAGCATTTTTGAGAAGAGTTGGCAGTGGCCGCTGGCCCTACAGCTTTTTGACCTCATGGGCCAGTGCAAGAGACTTGGGCCAGTGCAAGAGACTGCTGCCAGGGTCTGTCCGAACTTACCTGTAACAGTGAGTAAACAAGAACATGACTATTGTATACTATTGTTGAACAAGGCCTACAACTGAACCATCATCGACAGGACCTACTGGTAATAGGATAGACCCAATTTCATGTCAATCAAAGCACAGTCCGGACTGGGTATCTCTCAGGACCTTCCCAGTGACCCTTTGAGATTCCCGATCTCGATGTTACTTAGGTCTGTGAAAGGTCACCTATACCAATCCTGAAGTTCGGTCACTGGGAAGGTCCTGCTCGATAGTGGCTTTTCCTCTCCAGAGGACTGGCGTCATCGGATGTGTGGTCCCCAGAAGGTCTAAGAGGTTTGGGACCTCCCCCCCACCTGAATAAGCCTGGATGGGCTTTGTCGCGGCCCGCTTGGAAAACGGGGCCCCAGTCGTAGCTGTTCTTCGTTCATGTTCGATTTTGCACGAACGAAGTCGCAGAAGCTTATCCCAGCAGTTCCAAAGGGGTACCTATTGGAGAATAGGGGTGTCCATAATCCACTCACTTAGGGCACTAAAACCTCAATTTCGAGTCTGAACCACTTGTCCCATGTTTGGAAACCCTTGTGCTTTGAAAGGAATTCAACCGCACCCTGTCCACACCAAACTTCAGGAGAATGCTATGGCTATGGATCTCTAAGAAGCTCATTGTTTCTTAGAGCTTATAGTGACGTGTACGACATCACTTGGCACAAAACTATCCAGCAATTTGGTCAGCCTTTTGTTTGGACTCCTAACTTGAATTGATGTCTATACAGCCAACCCTAAGAATTCTCGGGCCCTCGACAGGGGTCGGATCCTTCACACTTAGCAGGGGCCACACTCAAAACATCTCAAAACCCTTCCCATTGGTTCGGGCCCAGATTCTGAGGGATGAACTCCGGTCACCGATTGAAGTTCATGAGCTCGCACTGGAAGAATAAGCACCCTGATGATGAGAATGTTTTGAGTGGTAAACTGAAAGAAGGACCTTCCATCTACAGCGTCAATCTGGTTTCAAAGTCCACTGGTGGAAGAAGAAGTTTTGCACGCGTTTGAGATGAATGTTGAAAAGATTTGACCAGTATGCCATCCCTCTTTTTTACAGCTTCGGAGAGCTCGCCCGGTGATTCGCCCCACCTTGGTCCAACTAAAGCTTGTCCAGTGCCGTCAGGATATCTCCCAACGCCATCACCTTCACCTCTGCCATCAGTGCGATGGGACGCCCATCGCGCCATGACCATGCTCAGCTGCCGCGCTGGCCCTGGGCTCTTCACCTGTGGTCTGAGATGCCGCGGCTTCAGGCGCTGCGAGGTTTCACCGAAGGATGGGGGGTTTCTTTCACCCATCGGTGCCGACTATGCAAGGTACCAAGATGACATCGCGTCCCGTTTTTTTCAAGATCGGGACTATCCGGTATCTCCGGGAAAGGAGTGGTGAGTGGTGATTCCAAACAGGGTCTCGAGCGGCAACCCTGAAGATGAGCTTGAACGTGAAGTGGGGTGTAATATGGTGTAATGATTGGGTGGAGAGAGGTGGCGATGAAGAACTTTGGTGGTTCTATGTTGGGTATCAATATAGGAGAAGTCCCGTTTTCTAGGGCCTGAACTAGGGTACTTCATATCCAGGAACATTTGCTGGTGGAATCGCTCATTCTGAACAAGACAAGATTCAAATCTCCACTTCACCAAACCTCACGCCTTCTCGCATCATGCCAACCCTGACCCTCCCGGGTGCGACCAACCTCACTGGTGCGACCCGTTCAGCCCTTCAGGTCCGACCCAATGTGTTCAGCTTCACGGCACTCCTCGGTGCCATGGAAGGCACGGGCCGGCCACGGCATGGGTGTAGCCGGATGGAAGCTGCTGTTTCTTCCGGTGAGGGTTGTTATCAGCGGATCAATGCCGTGGGGGTCACTCGAAGTAAAGTATTCAGTATTTAGTTGTTTAAAAAAAGAACATTTCACATTTTTTCTTTTTGTTCCAATCTTTGTCATATAGTTACTGTAGTTTGTTGGCTACAACCGACCTGCTGGAAGGTAAAGGAAAAATAGACCATGCGGGGGTCTCCCTAGTGAAATGCACACCCGAATTATTCGGAAACAGCTTCTGATGTTGCCATGCCAAATTGTGGACTGATAAAGTCCCACTCCCAAGCAGCAAAAAAGAAGGGCTGCTCCACTTGTTAACAGGTGTTTAAAGGCTGCTTGTGTGGGAACATCATTTTTCGTTATTGATACTACTGTACTACTATGCGAATGGAACGTGCCAACCCTACAAAAGGGGACCTGAACTATGCAACCACAGTAGGCAGCAGATCCATGTAGGCACAGCCCGGCCCCCTCGTGTTTGGCATAGGAACTCTGGCAACTTACAGGACATTGGCCATGGTACCCATCAATTTTGAGGCCATAGCTAGGTTGGAGGCCATTGCAACTAGGTTGGAGGCCATTGCTATTGGGATTCTCACATTGCTTGCTATAGGAAGAGCCACCTTCACAAGGTACCACCATTATCACACAGGCGACGGCCTACAAGTTTAGCTTCTCCTCCTACCCAGGATTCTGTTGACAGCAATGGTTTGTTTCAGGGTGATTTGTTCGGGTGGACAATCAAAGTGTGTCTCCGTTTTTCGCAGCCAGCTACAGCTGTCTTATCCACTTTATCCATTGCCATCATCCATGCCATCTGTCGCTTCTTAGGCAAAACGGTGTATCGAAACATGAACTCCTCATGTGTACCTCACGCATCAATCCCATCACTCGGAAAGGGACAGGTTCTCTAAATTGGAGACCCCTTCCGTCGCGTTGACTAGACATGTGCCAATTAATGCCAATTAATGTAATGAGGTAATGAGGATTGTCCATCCTTCGTTGTGCAAGTGAATCTATGCTTCAACGATATGTGGTCCAGTCTATGGTGAGGGCTGTCAGGTCTACTGGCAGATGCCACACACGAGTTGTAGAGGTCCCATGCGGGTTTGGCTTTGTGTTCCTTCTTCAGTGCTCAACAGGGAGCTACAAGTCGGTTGGAGGCCTAGCCGCATGGCTAGGTTGGACGCCATCGCTGCAAGGGTAGCGACTACGGTGACCACGGGAGTTCCCCAACCTTTTCCAGGTGAACCAACCATAGCTCATTCGATCGTGCATTGAAACATGTGTTTCTGAGAGGGTGATCCCAACGAACGACGGTGAGAAGCGAACGAACACCAGCAGCCTCAGGGAGTCTGCAATGGCGCTGGGCTGGACAGCTGTTCGACATGCAGGACTGACAGATACTGACAGATCTAAAGCATCGATGTTTTGTTGGATCGGGAACAAATGCATCAATGGGGGGCGTTCACTGCTGGAGATTCGAAGAATTACGTTGCTCTTCTTTGGCGGGGTAGATGACATTTATAATTAGGTGCATGTTCACAAATAGTTTTGACTACGCCGACTACGCTAAGAATCCTTGGACCGTCCGTAGCAAGGGTCGGAACCCTCAAAGCCCTTTCCACTGGTTTGGGCGCGAGAAAGGGGCAAAAGTAGCCAGGAGAGAGAGGGGGAGAGGATGTTCGTGTGTAAACACCCTGGAGTCACGGTGATGGTTTTTCCCCAGATAGCGAAGCTATGGGGTTCTTACTTCAAATAAATAACAATGAGTTGCCCGTGCGCGCTTTCGAGACAGGTTGCTGGTGCTGGGTGCCGGTGCTGGTGCTGTGAGCTGGCTGTGCACGCGGTGGAGACAGTTGTACACAGGGTCATGTCCTATTTGTTCAGGTTACGAACGACCTTGGGTCCAGGTATATAATATACGGGGTCTTTGGACAAAGAGTGAAACAGTCTCATCCAGCTGGACACCCTTAGATGTGACACCCTGACTTCCGCAAGTTCGGCACCCTGGCCTCCATGGAACAGCTGGAGTTCCCAGGTTTGGTGTTTTTCATGGCCCTTTCGCCTTTCACGAACGCGGCAGGGCCTTGCCCCAGACCTGGTGAGCTGCTTGGACCGTGATGGTAATACATCACCGTGAAAAGACCGTACTAATGTACCTTTCGCTTCTAGGTTTTTAGGCCATCGCTATTAGGTTGGAGGCCGTCGTTTCCTACTCTGTACCTTTCGCTCATATGTTTGCGCCAAATTGTTGCATGCTCCTTATCATCTCTAGTCGGATGGGTCCGATCTGAAGAAGAACCCGGCCACACGCGATCCCAAAGGCATTGTTTACATCGAATGTCCCTACCCACATCGCTTGTACTTGTGATCATAGAAACTGGGCGTCCGTTCCTTTGTTTTTGTACTTATTTTCGGGAAATGGTTCGCGACCCATTCTCCAACCAGGCCTTCCCATGCCGAGGTTACAACGCTGCCATAAACCTATGTGCCATGTCCGGCTGCTGGCCACCTGGACATGGTTTCGAGGGCGGACGAGTCAAGTGAGGCTCTTCCCCAGTCGCTCCGGACTGGCAAAAATGGAGTGTTTGTTACTTAGTCATGCCTGCGACGGTCTTTGTGTTGAACATTATCATTAGTAAGCCCTTCTGAAGACTCTTGGCAAAAACCAAGAGGCGTTGCTGGTTCTGCGGGGACGTGCCGGGATTTTCTCCGGGGGCTGGGCACCCATTTGCAAACTCAATCGCTCTAGCTGAGAGGCTGAAATATCGTCTGCAAAGACTCTACCAGGTACGAAGCCACTCGAGCGACTTTATAAGGGTACAACAGTAGAACCAATCTGTTTGGTCTTGGAGTGGTCCTACGGTCCTACGGTCGTAAGAGCCAGGCTGTTCTGACCTGGAGGGGACCGAGGCCCAGGATTCCACGATCTCTGTGTCGCCCATCTCTCGCCTCAGATGAAAGCTGGGCGATGCTCGGCTCTGGTGAAACTCGACTCACACACACCCCAGGGCCTTGCTGAACTCGGCTTTTCGAACGCCTGGATCCAAAATGTTCGGAATTCACGAGTTCACCTGGTGCTTGCTCCAGGCTAATGACCCACCTGGCCTGTGAACAGCTAGCTCTGAGGCAGCAGGTCCTTGGCTTCCTAGAGCTGATGTCAAGACGAAAGCTGCCCCCTCAACCAAGCAGCTACAGGGGAGCCATCAGTTGCTTGCCTGGAGGGGCGGAGTGGGGCGGAGTCGCACCTTTCATTCGCGAAAAAGTGGGCGGACAGCCCCATGGATCGCCCGAAGTCCTCAGGTTCCTGTGAAGCGGCCACTTCTTGGCATTTGGCCCTGCAGCTCTTCCGGATGGCCGATGAATCTGCCATCAATGTGATGGACAGCGGTATCTTAGATGTGGTCATTAAGGTCTTGGAGAAAGGCAAGGCATGGGAACCTTGGAGAATGTTGATGGTCGTGCAGTTCTCAAGTTATGCTCTGGGACCAGATGGGATCAAAATATGAACCTCAAGAAGCACCCCTTCCCCTGAAGAAGCATCCCCCCCAAAAAAAAGTCAAGAACTGGTCAGAGGTTGGGGGTGCCTTTTTCTTGACCTCCTCACTCCTTTTGGAACAGTTGTACTATGTTGTACTCGTACGTCCTTTTCGTATCATCCTTCCTTGCTTGCTTTTGTCCCTTCCTTCCTCTCGTCACTCTCGTCCCATTAGGCTGGCTTTGTGGCTTTCGCTGGCTTCCTCTCTGAACACTTCCTCAAATCCTGTGGCACCTGCGCAGTCATTCTGTCCTTCTTCCCTGCCTTTCTTTGTTAGTTAGTCCCATTTAGTCCCTGTCTCGCGGTCTTGCGGTGGAAAAGGTGGCTGTAGCTGCTGCTGTTCATGTTCTGAGCTGTTTGACAGCTCGGCAGCATTTCAAGGTCTTGACCAAGCCAAATAATTATCCTTAGAGACCTAATTCGAAATCTTTTTCGACCCTCCAGCCGAGACAACCATGATCGCTTCCTCCAGCCGAGACAACATGATCGCGTGCGAAAAAAAAAAAGAAAGGAAAAAGAGAGAGTCAGACAAACGCAAGAAACAACAAATGGTTAGAGGAAGACCTACCAAAACCCGATCCTTTGCCCTCGGGGAGGTTGCCGTTTGTTTTTTTGAATTCACACGCAGATGCACGAGTGCACGCTTGAACAAATGCCTTTGCAAGACTGATTGTATGATTGTTCTATTTAGCGTTGGCGAGAAGACATGCAAAGCTGCCATGCTTTACCAAAGACATCATTTATTTCACCAACCCTGAAGGATTGGATTGAACCATCCATGTCGTGCATGTGCTGAGAACAAAACAGGTGTTTTCGTTTTAGTTGCATCTTGAAGTCCTTCGTGAACTGAAATGGTGGAATTCCAAAAGCCCGTTTTGCCCGCCCAGTAAAATCCACACATCTTCGAAGCTGCAAACTCACATCGGACCAAACCAAACATGGAGACTCCAGTTTTGGAAGTCGTGGGCACTCTCCAAGTAGCACTCTACAAGCGGTTTTGATGGGCATGGGGCCAACATCCTGAGAAGGTAGGGACAGATTCCCCGCGGCACCCACCCCAACACCTTCGAAATGGAGGTAGATTGAGCCCAGGGTGTTATGGAGACTCCAGGTTTCTCGTTCACACCCTTCTCCCTTCATCACCAAGGAGCTGGCCTGGCAACTCTTCCTTACGCAGCGGCACATCTCTCCTGTTCCAGTTTCCAGCTACAACGCAGCCATGAGCGCATTGGCCAGTGGACACCATTGGGTCGCCGTTCTGGAGCTCTTGCACGGCACTCTGTCGCTGTTGGGAGAAAACCAATCGTTTTCGAAATGCTGATTGACGTGTGACGCGTAGGTGAAAGAGCCCTAAGAGTTTGGAGAGAATCGATGTCCTCCCGTTAGGAAGACTGAGGATCACCTGCGAAACCTTTTTGGGCACGACCATCCAACAGTCCATCCAACAGCCCGCGGATCACTGGATGCTGAGTAAGCTTTATGTTTCCAGGGAAATGGCTCGGGAGTCAGACAGATGCTGACACGAGAGGCAGGCAAGGAACCTTTTGAGGCGCTTTTGTATGGAAATCGCTGGCTAGCTGTGAAATAGCTGTGTGGAAAAGCTGTGTGGAATAATGTTGGAGTGTTATTTTCTCTACAATATGAAGTGGTAGGAACTAAGCAAACTCTGACCTGTATGGTTGCTTGAAGGAACATGAGGTTGGCTAGTAGAACGGGTCACACTCCTCAGGTGCGCTTGCATTGGAAGGTGTTATTACATCTAATACATCGACTAGCTGGTGCTCAGAAGGAAGCGATTGAGGGAGCCATATAAAGGGGGTATCCATATTCCCCATCAAAAAACAAAACCAAACAGGGAGCTGTGTGGAGCGACCTTCCGGAGTTCCCCTAACCACTTGCTAGTCGAAGCCTGTGAGAAGAAGGGGATCGAAGGCTCCGACAAATACACCATCATGCATGGCCAAATCCCGCGAAGCAGCCAAGATAGAACATCATCTCACCAATATAGACGCTACTAAGGAAGCCACTTCTATAATAGGGTCTAGTCGAAAACCAAAGTCACTGAGTTGCGCGAAGCGACTCGCAGGTTCGCAGTTGACGTTCTTTCCAGGAAAAAGGTGGGTCGATGGACTGTAGGTGGATGAGATTGGCCATACGATTTGACTGCAATGGTGGATATTGACCCCAAACAACTAGTGGAGGACCATTTGAATCGGATTCGATCCACTTAGATCACCCAATAGAAGAGGGTCCGGTCCGTACCTGCTTTCAAACAGATTGCTTCGCAGAGCCCAGGCATGAAGCCAGCAGACATCGTTTCTTGGCTGAGCATGTCCTTTCTTCCTTGCTGGGGTTGATCTCTGATCATTTCACCAGGCTTGACGAGTACCCAACTGCTTTTGAAATACAGCCATCCTTGAGGTGAAGATAAGGGGAGAGTGATCATCCTGCAGGCTGAATAGAAGAATGGCTTTCCTCCTTTGAGCTGTTGATTTGCAAGTCTCAGCTTGGTGTGTGAGTGTGTGTGGAAGTAATCCTAGAGTGTTTGCAATGCTCCTTTTGTTGTTGCTTTTGCATGGGTTCTTCGAGCCCAAGTACCAGAGCCCCCTGAGGGGTGTCCATTAAGAAGCCAGAGGTGATTTGGGGGGCTCCATAAACCACCCTCACCCCTCAGGAAGCTTTGATATATACATACTAATACCAGATAAATGTGTGTTGAGCTGAGCTTTGGTCCATCCTTGGCCCTGGTATTTCGTTATTAGATGGCATGGGGCGGCATCTGAGCTTTGCCACCTACACCGAACCATGACAGCGCAAAGAACCTGCGCGGTAGGTTGGAAGCCGGACGAAGTTCCGACATGTCCGACATATTTTTTGGGAGCGTACACTGAGACTCCGGATGTCATCAGCTACAACACCAGCCTCAGCTCCTGTCAACCGGGGCAATGGCGAGCCGCGCGGCGCTTCTTCGATGCCATGCCAAAGAGCTACATCCTTCCGGACGTCGACCGGCAGAAGGAAAGGAGTGGGAAAAGGACTGAGGCAAGAATACAGATAGCACAAAGACCTGGATGTCTCTATAGACTCTAGATTGTGCCTAGAACATGATTCAACACGAGACACGACCCTATACTCCATATAGCTATATAGTGCTCACGGAGCGTTGGCTCAGAAAATAGACTCCCCGCCCAGCGGCACTTAAAGAAAGAGATCTTGGCACGTGTTGGGAACCCGGTGGACCTGTAGATGTTGGCAATTTTGCTCATTCGATATCCAGATGAATATCCAGTATTTACTGGAAGGCACAAGTGGCACTCATCCCTCCCCTTCCCAAAACTGCACACGTCACCACCAGCAATTGGACTTTGGGACATTACATGGAGCCCGGGCAAAAGTCTATAATCAAAAAAAATAGATAAAGGGGTCGAAAGTAGCTTATGATGTTTTTTTCAATTAGATTATGTAGCGGGCCCCCAGCTAAACACACCTATTCTGCAGCTGGGCGCTAGGTTTGCGGTAGACTTGTGCTAGTGACGCTAGTATTTGCCTCAGGGCATGTTCAGAACCTCGTCAGGTTTTTGAAAAGTGGCTGGCTGAAAAATGCACTAGCCGCGCGCTAGGACTGCGCTAGATCCACGCTAGCAAACATTGCCAGATTCCAGCGTGGACCCTTCCAAGGCTGAGTTGCAACGTGTTTTTTGTTTCAAGCACGGCTTGAAGCTCGGAGATCAGCTGAAGACGCTGCAGCGCTAGTGACGCCTCTTACAATTTGGTGCCAATACTTGTTTGGTCCATGTTTCCGTCATTAACCAGCTGTGTGTGCCAAAAGTAAAGAATATGTAGCGGGCCCCCATCTGAACACGACTTTCAGCCATTTTTGGAAGAAGACGCTTCGACCACATCCCACATCCACTTGCATCCCCTGCATCTCGGGAGAGGGGAGAAATTCGCACCATGACTGATGCTGGCCGCCCTGCTTACAGCGTTGTTGTTCGCCGCAATCGGCCCTTTGGGCCATTGGGGTGCCGCCCTACCGGGATTCAGCCCCCAAGGTGATCACCTACAGCACCATGATCAGTGTGTGTGAGAAGGCTTGGCAGTGGACCGATGCTCTCCACTTGCTACACTCCATGCCTAGCGACCTGAAGGTCGGGAGACCCAACACAGGGGCCTGGAATGCCGCTCGTGCCGCTCCAAGTGGTGCGAGTGGTGCAGGGTCCCTCCAATCTTTGTGCCCCGAAACGGCCGAAGCAAGAGGTTGTTGTCTTCCTCCCAGTGAACCCATTGTGGATATTGCTTGCTTAATTGTCAATGATTTGTTCCCATTGTTGTTGGATATTTTTTTGTGCGTTCTTGTACAATCAGGTGAACAATCTGTAAATGTTAGTTCTTGCTGGTGGAACTGAAATTGATATGGTGCACAAAGTACAGCAAACCAGATTCGATCATATTATGACTTGTTATGATCATGGGGGACTGAGTGTCTCTCTCCAGCCTCCCGTGCCCAAACCCCCACTCCTCGACCGGGTGTTTGTCGCTCGTCGCCCAAAGCCCCACTGAGCCGTGAGGCAGACTTGCCGTGTTTCAGTGCATTGATCAGCTCCTTGGTGACCTGTCACAGAAAAACAAAGCGCGTCAGAGTCACACGGTTGACACGGTTAACATGAAGGTTCGCCTCTTTTTCAGTTGTTGTTTCTCGGGGAAAACAGAGGTTCGTGTTTTTTTACGCACATGTTCTTCGGGGGGCATGCTTGGGTTGGAGAACCTTTTGGGTTTGGAGCTACACTTCTATCTGTCCCTTTGGGTCTGCTCGCTTTGGATCTACTCCCACCTTCTGCTTTTGTTCGGATTCGTGTAGATAGGTTACAGATGTGCAATGCAAGTATTTGAAGGATCCTCATAATGTCAGGCTATTCAGATGAACACTCCATCGCTTTTCAATGAAGAGACCCAGGAAGAATAACATCTCCAAACCCTACAAAAAGAGAGCAGGAGATCCGGTTCCGGTTACTGGACATTTACCCTTTTGATGATGATATGATGATATGATGCCGCATGCCCCGAACCGTCACTGATGGTCGTCACATTGTTTGACTACGCGGGGACCAGTCGTCTCGTGCTCGGAGAGACTTCTGAGGTGTCGCGTGCTCGGTCGGAGTCGTTGATCGCTGCCCTGAGGAGAAAGGATTCCAGTGGGCACTAGCCCTGCAGACCTTGGGGAATATCTCGAAGGCTGGACTTGGTGCAGCAGGGCAAGTTGGGCTGCGCCTATAGGCATCCTCCCATGTCAGGCTCTCCCATGTCAGGTGCAGTGAGAGTAGTGTCTACATCGCCGTTCTTGGGGAACACTTCGAGCTCTTTCGAGTGGGTGAACACATCTCCACGATTCTCCACTTCGCTCGCTTCGCTCGTCCACGAATCGCTCGCTGAACCCCTTCCGACCGACCACTTCAGTCACTTCGAAGACGGAGCTCCGTCCGATCCTTCGGCCCTCTAGGCGTCGCTGTTGGACACCGTGGCCTGCAATGCATGTCTGGCCGCGGTGGAGAAGGTGACGGAGTGGGAGGTGGCACTGCAGCTCTATCACTGGTGCCTTGCACATGGCCACTTGACAGTTGTGAAACGAGGAGTAAGGTGAGGCAGGTAGGCAGGTAGGTGTAAACCAGGAGCCTACATGCGCCCGATGGCTTTATTATAGAAATTGCAAGTTGATATCAAGTACTAAGGAGGTGTTTATATTGTGTTTATGACATCGGGTCAATGGTCCCGTTGTGCTAGGGTTTGGAAAGGTCCTATTTGGGATGTTGAGAGCCAGGTTCTTGTTTTTGTTGGAGTGCGGCTTGCTGGTTCGGGATGTTCAGACATCCAAATGCATGGAGGGAATATGGTAGAGGTCCGGTCCGGGAGAGGCCTCCCATGGCCTCCCTCAAGGTCCGTGTTGCACAAGAAACATCAATCTTGCAAAGAAACACCCGCAGAGGACATGAAAACGCCTGTGATATTTTCCTTTGTTGATCTCTTTGGTTTTGCACGGTTTTGATGTCTATGCTCAGGCAGACTATAATTTTGATGTGGAGAAGCATAACATGAACCCTATCCTCAAATGTGACAGGGCTGGGTCCTTTTCGTTCTTTTTGCTCTTAGACATATGGGCATGTTCCTCAATCTGATCCGACGAATTCCAGGAACTCCTCTCATGGTCACCGTCGGTTTGGCTTCATTGGTTTTTAAACGACGGGTGATTCTATTTCTGATCATGGGGCTTCAGAAGCGTCCATGTGTTTGGATCCTCCGTTCGATTGTACCACTCGACATGTCAGTTCCTTCATTCCTTCGTTCTTTCTGCGCGCGAGAAAATCGAGACCTGTGCAGCTCGTCCTGCGGGTTACTGCATGTTCTCCCGAACAGACCCGCGAGGTGGTACGCGGGTCGTACCCTGAAGGACCCTGAGCCATCAACGAATCACTAGTCACTAGAAATTCCTGGAGTTCCATGTGGGGGCTGGGTTTGGAGTCCCATCCAGGACCCTACTTGGGGGGTGATGTGGGCACAATTTCTCTCCTTCAACCGGGACTCGGACGCGGAACTCCTGGTTTTTCATGCCTTTCTTGATCAATGTGGTGGTTTGAACAGAGTGAAGCGAGTTGATGAAAGCCTGCAGGTTCTTTTTTTCACCTGTCGCAGCTGATGTCCTGAGGGATCGCAGTGGACGAGGTCATGGATGGCTGCTTGGAAAGACACTGGCAGCCGCAGCAAGTAGAAGTAGTCTGCCTGGAACTGACATGGAAGTGGAAAACAAAGCCTGTTTGTAGAGGAACAGGGTGTTCCAAGAAACCATTGTTCACTTCCATGTTAGGTCCAGGGAGTGTAAGTTTTGCTTTGTTTAACAGACCTCGAAACGGCCTGAAACTGAAACATTACAGATCAGATGAGGTAGCGCAACAAAGCCTTGCAACACTCAACAAGAGAAGCTAAACAAGCATGGTGTTCGGTTCGGTTTGTGTGCCTTTAATTGAAATCAAAGTCCGTCTCCTTTATGCGAAAGCTATATATTAGCCTGCAACCTTCTAGCGATGGCCTCCAACATATATATATATATACATATACATCTCATGTGTTGTCGATTGTAAGATGCTTGAAAGATGTTTGGATCTCTTCTCTTTCAACAATTTACCTTAAGCAAGTTCAAATAGCTGCAGCTGCGAAGGAGATTGTCCAACCCCTGGTTGACGCAGATATCGGATATCCCATGAAGTCAGCCTCCGCTGTGTTCAAGGAAGGCATCCTTATTCTTATCACATGTTCTACTGACTTCAAGTTCCTTCTGTCCATAAAATCTTGAGGTGGAGTTCAATCAGCTCCTAACCCAGAGCCCATAGCCGCACGTGGTGTCTATTCAAGCCATGAAAAAAGAGGTTCCTTGGGCCTTGGGATACTATATCTATGAAACACTCCAAACCGGGGGCTTTCGAAGATGTGATAGGGTCAAGGTGTGTGCGTGTGTGTGTGTGTGTGTGTGTGTGTGTGCGTTGTTTCCCCATGTTCCACCCCTTTGTCCCTTGCACCTGGATTCGCTGGCATGACGCGAACACATCTCTCGCTGCGAAAACATCCGCAGCTGGTCGGGACGAGGGAATTGTTGACCTGAATCCCTAAATTGTCAATGTTCTACAGTGGTTTCAGAGTAGATGGCACTGGCACTCCGACAGATTATTTTGGAGGTTCATATATCAGAGGCAAACGGAAAGGTGGTGCACAGAAAGGGTTTAAAAAATAACATTCTACTAACATCAAGGAAGGTGTGGGACATTCGTAGAACGCGGGGCTATTCGTGGACATTTTGTGGAATGGTGGGCCAGTAGGAGAACTGACTGCAACAAAATCCCAGAAACCTTCGCAGAACTTCGTGAAAGGTGAAAGGTACTTTTGATGCACTAACTTCGTATAAGCGATCTTTGCTGACCCCCTTTCTCCACACACCCTCCATCTAGCGTTCAATATAAACCACTTCACTGGGGAAAAAGAACGATGTCTGATGTACTATATACTCTGAAACCCTTGTATATGGACCTGAATGACATCCATCCATCCATCCATCCATCCATCCATCCATCCATCCATCCATCCACCGGATTTGGACGTCAACCAGAGTTCAACACCTCATCACATGATCCGATTCAGGTCCAAGGCTGGCAGCTGTCACGTAAGGAGCAACGCATGGCGTAAGGGTTCGGTAAGGTTTTGTGGAAGCAAAGGTCAGGACATGTCAGGACACTTGATGCCTAAGTAGTGCGTAAGCAGGATCGAGACTTCTGATCACACTTCTACATAAACATATATATTTCCACTACCCTGTCCCTGTCCGGTTAGAAGAGGGTTGAAGACCTAAGCTCACAAAGGATGTACAAGTATGTACCGTACAAGTTGCAAAACGTTCTTCCCCAGAGGTCGCTAAAGTGTCAGTTGGGCCATCAGGCCATCGCTGGTAGGTTGCAGGCCATCGCTCTTAGGTATCCTCATTTGAGTCGTTTGCTTCCAGACCGTTTCCTCGAGATGGTTTTGTATACAGTATACAGTATACATGTCATTTCTTTGGACTGGACTAATTACGTGGAGACAGATGTCAACCCGACGTCGTCCCCTAGAATCTAGAAAATGGGCATGCCCCCCAATAAAATCCAAAAGACGGGCACGAATGTATTCAATAGAACAGGATGAACAGGTGGACCCGGACCCTTGAGCTGGGCCGAGGTTCCTTGTTGTCATCTGTGTCTCGTGGCACGCGTTGGCGGCTGGCACTGCAGCAGTTCAAGATCCTTTCTGCCCGGAGAAAGCCGACGCTGTGGCTGTGGAATTTGGTTCCCTAGGGCTCCAACTATAGCTCCTGAGAAGATGGTTGGGGTGGGTGTCGGGGGTCCAACCACCTTTTGAGGAGATGCCAAGGTTGGAGCTGTAGGAGGAGTGGGAAGATGCCAAGGCTCACGTCGAGATGACGAAGTGGACCATGGACCTGGCAATGGATCGCAATGGAAGTGGAGAATTTCTTGGAAGGTCAGTTTCTTCCACAAAACTACAGAGGTTTTTCATATTCTTTCATGGATTTTCTATCAACAATCCCATGAAATCTAATGAAGATCATAGTTCCATGAACAGACCGGCTCCAGGTAGGACCCTGATTAGGTGACTCTCTTGAGATCCCAGGTAACCGAGGTCGGGACCTTGTTCAGCTCCGGACCGGTCGTGGGACCCGAAAAAGGCGTAGACCACTGGATGGTGGAACGTTGGATGGAACTGAATGGTGGAACTCTTGTGTTTGTTCCATCTGAGGACTCACATTCGATTGTTTTCTGAATATGTGTCTTTAATATTGCAAAGATCTTAATTAAGTATTGGTTGGTGGATCGTATCGAGGAGTGGATGAAAGAGTGTGATGTTTGCTGGCTCGTTGCCTGTATTTGGTCATTTTGTTTTTGATTATATCAGGGTCCCAAATCAAAGGGTTACATGGACAAGTTTTAGATGGCCCAGTCAGTGAATCAACAGCACACTCTTTGAAATCATCGTTCCGTGGATGGGATGGCCAGAAGGCTTCCCAAATCCGAAGTCCGATGGCCCGGTGACGGCCACTCTGATGGATCGGAAGGGTATGAGAAACCAGAGTAGGTTACGAGTCACGAGACCAGGTCCATGATCTTCGGCCATTTGACCATCTGAGGAGTCCGATCGCGATGACCTCCCTGTTGGAAAGAGACTCGGAATGACTCGGCCCCAGAGCCGATTTGGAACACGCACAGCTCTATGGAGTGAATGTGTCTGAGCAGCTAAGCAAATCTAAGCAGCTCAGCTACAAGTCAGTTTGACCTCATGAAATACTGGAGATGGTCATACATGCCACCAATACTTAAGGAGATCAAGTCGACCAGGTTTATTGGGGTCAGACTGGACTTGCAGGGAATAACTCTTTTAGTAGCTGGTGCTCAGGAGGGAGCGACTGAGGGTCACCCCGAATATCCAGTATCCATATTTCCCATAAATCAGGCAGCTGTTCGGACCGTCTAATGTTGGGAGTAGCTGAGTACCTGGAGTCTCAGGTCGTACGTCAAACAATGGGTACAAGGATCCGATGTTCTGTGGTACAAGTATATATCCGATATCCTTTTTTTCTGGTGTATTTTGGAAGGTCGAGGTAGCTGTATGTGCTTCAATATGCTTCAATATATTTAATATACTTTATATAATATGGAATTGGAATGATTCCCAACATCTTGCAACATATCTCCGTGACTGAAAAGGCAGGTCAGTAGATGGTGAAACTGCCAGACACATCCACTACCATTGTTAACAGCTCTTTGGCACCAAAGTGCAAGAATAGTAACAGGCACCCCCCCAAACCACTTGAACAATTGTATACAGTATGCATGGTTTCACTCACCCCAAAACCAGCTTGTTTCAGTGATGAAGCTGGAGTCCTGCATGCATGTTTGCTTGAACATGAGAAAATCCAAGACCCGCTATTTGATCACATCAACCACCCCAGGTCAACCACCCGTCTGGGTAGACGAGAGTCTCACCCTCTTTGAGCCACACCGGTGATGCTCAGCGCGGGACCGGACCGGAGCCCGGCCATCCCAGGCTTACGGCGTGCTGGACATCCCGTGCGGGACCGGGAGGACCGTGAAGGCCGGCGGAGGCGAGAAAGGGCTCGGGAGGAGAGAGGGAAGATGCTTGATGCGCTTGATGTTCATGAATCAATGCACATCTAGTTGCACATCTATTGGTCAAAACTGTCAAAACGACTGGCGCAACTTACGAACGAAAGCAAAACGACTGGCTCGGCTTCCTACGAAAGCATCAGGTGGAAAAGAACAGTATACAGAAGTTGTTGGAGGGTACCCCAAGTACCTCCAAACATGAAATTGGCACCCGGCTAGCATGTACTACCAGTATATTTTGTTTGGGTCAGGTCCCATCTTCCGTACAAACTGGAGGTTCCAGGTAGCTCCAGGTATAGTTGGATCAACATATGTTTGTTGAAGTTTGAGCTCGTACCTTGTGCCTAGGTCCTATAGTTTCAGCACCGGAGGTACCCACAACCATTGACACAAAAGGCCTAAAGTTTTAAAGACCAATTATCAATATCCAGGAGCTATTTCCAGGTGTATCAGCACAAAGACCTTTAGGATGCAGAACCTTCTCTAGCTTTGTTGTCCCGATCCGACTTTTGAGCACAATTCCGGATTCCACGCATTGCAAGTCATGCGGAGCTGTAGGGTGAGCGGTTTGTTAGAAGGTCCAAGGGCAAAACAAAACTGAAAGCGGCCCACAGTGAAACTCGTGACTCAAGTGAGTCCGCTGGTTTTCAATTCCACATACGTTCCAATTGCAACACACCTGTTCCTTTTGAATCCATTTTGAGTCATATTAATTAGAATATCAGGTCGTACCTTGGAAAACGCCTACAACGTTGTATATATATGTGCTTGTCTGCAGTTCGGGTCATGTCCATTTTTTTCGTTACTGTGGACGGTCCAAGTGGTACTGCTTTGCCCCTCTCTCTCTCTCTTTTTGAAACGGGCTGCCCATTTACATCCATTTACCGCCTCAGGCCTGAGTTGGTGGAGCGCAGCAGGGCTGAGACGGGCTTAGCGTGGCGGCCGTGGGTGGGAAAAAATGGTTGCAGCCTGCGTAGGCGTTGGGAGGTGAGCTTTCAGGCTCAGCCCTCAGGTGTTCCCAGATACCTGGACACGTCTTTCGTAAACCCCTTAAAAAATTGAACACTTTGCCCAAAGCAACTGCTTGTCCGAGAAAGAACAGGTACTTATCCGAAGAACTGAGACTCCAGGTATAGATATGCCGGTTCACCACTTGATGACCATCGCGTCCTCGGTTCAGTCCACTGGGGACACAAACCACAAAATGAACAGGATACATGTCCCTATAGAGAGTGATTGTTTGATTCAGTCTTGTGTTTGGGTGTGTTTGAGTGTGTTTGATTGGCACAGGTGCATACCCCCTTTGGAACCTGGTTGCCCAACACGGTACTAAGGCTTACTAAGGTACAATGTGCCAGTATTTCTCTTTGATATCCACATACTGTTGTATTCCACATACCTCTCGGCGCTCAAGGTGGGGCTTGGAGGATCAAAAGGCCTTCCAAAGGAAAGCACATGGCATCTCCCTATTTGGAGACAATGGGCCCACAGCTTTCTCCGTCTCTGGTCAGGTCTCTCACTGGCGACAAGAGTTCGAGAAGGCTCAGGCACAGCGAGAGGAATTCAGGCGCTTTCAGGGCCCTCACTGTGCGTCATCGCACGTTTTTGAGCGTGCGCTGGCTGTGGCTTCATCCAAGATTCGCTTCGCTTATGCAATCCCTACAAAGAAGGAAGGGACACAACCTCCAAACCATGGAAAGAACAGCAACTCGAGCTTGCAGCTTATTGGAGGGAGCACGCTCAACGCGATCTACTTGTGAAAGCTTCATCTTTTCGTGGTTTGGCGTACCCCTCGCCTCAGTTGCAAACCTTTTTTTCTAGCCCTCCGAGACCATGACGAAAAAGGACCGTTTTTGCATCAGGGGTGTGTCAGGAATCTTGGGGCTTGGAGCTTGTTTGGGGCTCTTGAGATAGATAGACTGAACTGAACTGATATGAAGCCTCGGCCTGTGGCCTTCGCCTCGTTCGGCTTTCGACGGTGTCCCAGCACCCGACTTCACAGGTCAGTTGAAACCGGATGGGCCTAACAACCAACCCTCCATGCAAAGGAGACCTACCTGTTGGAGGGTGCTGCTAGGTGATCTTTCTTTTGATGTCGGCCTGCAACTTGACAATCATCATCCACTGGATGCTGGGAGGAGGTTGGGATATCCCCAAGCTAGTGCCTGCAGGATGGCACTGGAAGAGAAGGATCGAGAGTTGCAAGAGGTGCCCCCGAGTGAAGACAAGTGGATGGGCGCGGACGGCGCGGACTCCGGGACATCTACTGGGAATGTGGCGGCCCCATCGCACACGGGCACCCATGGATTTCTGGCAAGATAGGCCTCCTCATGCATTGGTGCACACCCCTTGAATTCTGAGATTTGGACAACCTCAAGAACGATAGGGTCGGGATCAAAGAACGTTACCTGATTTTGATTAATTGCTTTGTTGGACGTCATGTTTGACAAATACAAAGTCTGATAAATGCTTTGAGAAAGATATGTCCTTTGCACTCCCTTAGATGTTGCCTTCCTGTTTTTGTTGCCTCAAAACGGCAGGGTTTTTGCGGAATCGGCAGAATCGGCAGAATCAGCCAGCCAGCCACCTATCAAAGTACCCGGCGGAATCAGCCAGCCTGCCAGCCAGCAAAGTATCTGGTGGAGTCAGCCAGCCAGCAAAGTATCCGGCGGCTGGCGGAATCAGACCTAGGCACGGAACTTCAGGCTTTATAGGAATTTTCAGCATCGCAAACGATACCCAAAACGACACCATTCTGATCCATAATTGAGCATTTCTAGACAAACAAACCCTCACGCCTGATTGTCCAAGTGTCTTTATAGCAATTGCGACATAAACAAAAACCGCTGAATATCAACTGAATATGTTAGCAACGACAAATCTGAATATTGGGTTCCTCAGTTTTGTAGGCTATGATTTGAAACAAATATACTCAAGCATTCTATTTTACATTGCTACTTTCGCGGGCTACTATAGAAACTAAAGCACACCGATAAAAAAAACAAGATGGAGCCCACGAACCCGAATGCAAACACGTTCCAAAAGCTACATATGTCCAAATGACACTCTTGTAGGACACTCTTGTGGGACACTCTTGTAGGACACTCTTGTGGGACACTCTTGTAGGGCACTCTTGTGGGACACTCTTGTGGGACACACTCTTGTGGGACGCTGTTGCGGGACACTCTTGTGGGACACTCTTAAGGGACACTCTTGTGGGACACTCTTGTAGGGCACTCTTGTGGGACACTCTTGTGGGACACACTCTTGTGGGACACTGTTGCAGGAAACTCTTGTGGGACACTCTTGTGGGACACTCTTGCAGGACACTCTTGTGGGACACTCTTGTGGGACACTCTTTGTGGGACACTCTTGTGGGACACTCTTGTAGGAAACTCTTGTGGGACACTCTTGTAGGATACTCTTGTGGGACACTCTTGTAGGGCACTCTTGTGGGACACTCTTGTGGGACACTCTTGTAGGAAACTCTTGTGGGACACTCTTGTGGGACACTCCTGTAGGAAACTCTTGTGGGATACTCTTGTGGGACACTCTTGTGGGACACACTCTTGTGGGACACTCTTGTGGGACACCCTAGGGACACTGTTGCGGGACTCTCTTGTGGGACACTCTTAAGGGACACTCTTGTGAGACACTCTTGCGGGACACTGTTGCGGGACACTCTTGCGGGACACTCTTGTGGGACACTCTTGTGGGGCACTCTTAAGGGACACTCTTGAGACACTCTTGCGGGACACTGTTGCGGGACACTCTTGTGGGGACACTCGTGTGGGACACTCATTTGGGACACTCTTGCGGGACACTCTTGTGGGACACTCTTGTAGGACACTCTTGTGGGACACTTTTGTGGGACACTCTTATAGGACACTCTTGTAGGAAACCCTTTGCGGGATGCTCTTGTAGGACACTCTTGTGGGACACTCTTGTAGGACACTCTTGTGGGAGACTCTTGTAGGGCACTCGTGCGGGGCACTCTTGTGGGACACTCTTGTGAGACACTCTCACGGGACACTCTTGTAGGACACTCTTGTGGGACACTCTTGTAGGACACTCTTGTGGGACACTCACGGGACACTCTTGTTGCGCACTCTTGTGGGACACCCTTGTGGGACACTCTTGTGGGACACTCATACGGGACACTCTTGTGGGACACTCTTGTAGGACACTCTTGTGGGACATGCGGGACACTCTTGTGGGACACTCGTACGGGACACTCTTGTGGGACACTCTTGTGGGACACTCGTGTAGGACACTCTTGTGGGATACTCCTGTACAACACTCTTGTAAAACACTCTTGTGGGACACTCTTGTGGGACACTGTTGTAGGAAGCTCTTGTGGGACACTCTGACTCTTGTAGGACACTCTGAGTCTCAAAAACGAGCGTTTCGTACGAGACTTCCTCCAAAAGTCACACGTCAAGTCTCCAAAACGAGCGTTTCGTACGAGACTTCCTCCAAAAGTCACATGTCAAGTCCCCAAAACGAGCGTTTCGTACGAGACTTCCTCAAAAACTCACATGTCAAAGTCTGCGAAACGAACGTTTCGCATGAGACTTCCTCCAAAAGTCCAGCGGAAACACCCATCGGAGCACACACATCACGCAGCCCTCCCCAAGAGTTAAACGAGAACCCTTCGCTACGCATTCGGGAAAAAATGAAAACTAAATCCTCCAGGTTCCTAGGCTCAGGTCCTAAGTTGTTTAGTTTCTATAGAACTGACTTTCTAAATATCTGGAAGCTTAGACACCTTAAGGATTTAGTGTGTTGTGAATGTTGTAGATAGTTTTTTTCAGCCGGCGAACAGAAAAAACTATATATTACACAAAGACGTTTTTGTTTAAATTGTCACCAAAAGTCAAGAACTGAATTTTGAGTATTGTTTTTGATTGTTTGTTTCAAGCTTGAATCATACATTGTGAGACCTGGAGGTCCCTTGTACATGTGGGGGACCTTCATGTAGGTATACAAGAACGACCTTCTGTCCGCACTACTTTAGGCAATTTTTTCCAACCCCCTCAAGGCCAAAGTGCTAAAACACTTCCTCTGAGTCACTGACCGGATGGATACAACTCTTCTTCATTCAAAGAGAACAGTAGGCAGCCGAACGGGGTTTGCTCAGGGAAATGTAAATGCAATTCAAGGTCAAAGTGCTATGAATTCCTTGTGGTCAGTGGCCTGTCAGCTAGAGCTAGAACTGCTTCTTTACATGTTAGCGCAAAGCAGTCTTCGACAAGACCCTCACTAAGGAGCAGTTGACGCGCAAGAGTGCTGTCATCACAGGACTTCGTGAACACCATGGCCCGTCTCCTTTTGACAAGGCAAACATGCCTAGGCCAGAAACCAAACAAAATGGAAAAAGAAGGTGAACTTTCTGAGGCTGAGATCGCTGAGCAGATCGCGGATGAGCTCCTTGCAGATCAGTTTTGACCGCGCCGGATCGATCTTAGAAGGGGCAAGAAGATTCGCTCATTGCAAACATTGCCAAGAAGAAGGATGACCCATTCCAACCGACAGGGCCACATTTGTCCGCGCCAGAAACAGCCGATCTGACGCTGATTGACCCCAAGGCTTGCATGTGCCGGAAGGAATTTCGAAGAACGTTTCAATCAGGCCATAGCCAGCCTTGATTATTCCAAGTCTGCTGGATGCGACAGTTTCGTTCATGGCTCAACAAGAGTTTCTCATGAATGATATGGACCAGATCCGCGAGGCGGTTTGGAAGCGGATACTTGCTTTCGTCGGGAGTGACGTTGGCTTGTTTGACCGACAAGAGCTCATTTTCTATGGTCCCAGGTCCGCCGTCTTTCCCTGCATCAAGCTAGAGTGGCACCCAGAAAGAAAGGTCTATGTGTTTGGTGAAGCAGGGGTTCCATTGCTTGACGAGGACGGGTTTAAAGTGCCCTTGTCGAATCCTCGATGGAGATCGATTCTTGTTCAGTCTACGATCGACCACATCACCCAGTTTTGTTTGCTCAAGGAATTCTCAGAGGCTGAGACGGCCGTTGTGAGAGAAGGAGACGCTGAGAAGATCATCAAGGGAGTTAGTCTTGTTGGTGTGTCCAGGGCCGATGATCGTTTAGGAGCAATTGAACGCGTGTTTGATAAGCTCCGGGTGCTTGGCAATGGCGACATCTGCACTTCTGACGTCTCTGGAATGGATTGGTCTGTTTCTGGTCTCGCTTCCTTAGACGGCTACCACTTTATACGTGGGAAGCCTTTTAATTGGGAATGGGCCGGCCGGCTGCATGTGCCTGTATTTGTGGGCCCTCCGTGCGCCCTGTTGATGTGGAGGGAAGGTGGGAAGGCACAATCCTTCGGGACCGGAAGTGCCATCTCAGACCGCTCAGACTCGGCCGTGAAAACACCTCCTTTCTCCGCCTCCTTTGTGTTCTTTATTGATTCATGTGGATTCGCTTAGTGCTGCTGTATCATTTCTTTGAACACTACCAGCTAAGCACCCGGGTCCCAAATCCCGGCAGAGTTGATGCTATGATTTGGACAATGGAACATACAACACCTGGCACGAGGGTTGTCCAGGCTACCTTGGACCTGGACAGGAGTGGAGCTGTTCCTCATGATGCTAAGCCCTGCTCCCTCATACATAGAACGATTCGAGGCCAAAGTGCAAAGAGTTCCCGCTACCCACGGACTTGTCAGCTACAGCCAGAATTGAAATTTGTCATTTTAGCAACCAAAAGGCGGTCGTATGTAGTCGTACAGGATTTCGTCAGAACCGAGG